CGGCGAAATGAGGGCAGGCGGCAGGACATGGTCGCCAGCCCGTCGCCATCCCCCATGACTGGCATCGCCAATATATTGAGGGAAAATGGCCAAATTTCCTCAGGAACTTCATTCCATAGTGTTAAAAAAGCGCCAGCTTTCTGGGGGCTTCGCCCCCAGTCCCCCATAAAGGGAGGCAAGTGCCGACAAAGCAACGGCGGCACCGCATGCGTCCGCTGCGCCGCGCCAGGCGCAAGGGTGGTTCCCCCGCAATTCGCCAACCCCCACTGTGCCATCGCCAGTTGATTGGCGAAATTTGGATGCGACAGCGGTCCTCATCGCCAGCCCATCGCCAACGCTGCCACGAGGGCCAGAAACACTGGCGTGGACCTCCCCCTGTTTGACCACATCGATCAATTGACCCGATCGCAGATCAACGTAGCAGCCTGCATCACTGTTGTTGGATGCTTCTTAGTGGTGGTGCCCCGCACGGCCCTGTGCGCACCGCTGGCACTGCACCCCCATCTGCCGCTGCCCTGGGATTGAGGTCTTCATCCTCCCTAGATTATCACAGGAGGCCCAGCACACGCGATCGCCGTGTGTCCCGAGGAGCCGAACCCGCCATGTCCGCAGAGGTGGGCTCAATGCTGCTCCACACCCCCTGTGGGATGTGCGAGCTGAATTGGGGCCGGAGACAGTGCCCGCCTGCCTGCCGCCGCCGCCGCCCCGCCGCCGCCTTGCTGACGAGGGCTGCTCTTCCGCCGCCAGCGGAGCAGGTGTCGCAGCAGCTGGACCAGGCGCTGATTGACGAGATGTTTGGCGGCGCCATGCCCAAGCAGGAGGTACAGGCGCAGGCGTTCCTCAAGGTAGCTGCTTGTCGGCAGCCTTGGGCATTTGTGAAAGGGCCAGCGCTCCGCGCCTTGATTTTCCCTTTCCGGCCTCCTGTCTGTCTGTCCGTCTGTTACACACATAAGGAGCAAGTGGTGGCCCCCTTTTGTATCTGCTGTACCGCAGGAGCACCCGCAGTACGATGGCCGCGGCACAGTGGTGGCCATCTTTGACACGGGGGTGGACCCCGGGGCCGCAGGGCTGCAGACCACCACCGACGGCCGCCCAAAGATCATTGATGTGGTGGATTGTTCCGGCAGTGGGGATGTGGACACCTCAAAGGTTAGGCCTTGAGGAAGGAGGGCAACAGAAGGATGAGACAGAGTGCTCGGAGACCGGCTGCAGCATTGCCGGGAGGGTGTAGGGGCGGGGAAGCAGCCAGCCGATGCCGCGTGCCTCTACCTGCTTGCCTCACAGACCTCGCCGGTGACACACACATGCTGGGCAGCCGACCAATGGCTGCAGGTGGTGCTTGCCGATGAGGAGGGCTGCATAGCGGGCCTGCTGGGCAACAAGCTGCGACTCAACCCCGAGTGGAGCAACCCCCAAGGTGGGTGGTTGTGGGTGGTTGTGGGGGCAGGCAGCAGGACAGGTATCACCATTCTCCGGCCATTCCAGTGCTTTTGTTTGACAGTCCAAGGACAGTGTGTCTTGCTGTTTGCAGGGGAGTGGCTCGTGGGCGCCAAGGCGGCGTATGAGCTGTTCCCGGCGGGCCTCAAGAGCAGGCTGCAGGTTGCGGTTATTGCCTGTCCGCAGTCCTGCAAGCGGTCGGGTCAGCTAGGCATGTGTCACTCACTTGCCCCACGGCCGCCCTGCCGCAGCGCGAGCGCAAGAAGCGGTGGGCTGAGAAGCAGCGCGCTGCGGTGGCCGACGCTGTGGCAGCAGCAGCCAAGTTTTGGAAGGAGCATCCCGGGGGCGTTTCGGGGCTGTCGGACGAGCTGAAGAAAGAGCGGGAGGAGTTGGAAGCCAGGGTGAAACTGCTGGCTGAGCTGGACGAGAAGTACGAAGACTTGGGTGAGGCGGCAGCTGCCGTAGCACCATGCACAGTGGTTCTTACCTTGGTTGTTTTTCCTTGGGGGGGACGGGCAGTGCCGACTGCTGATGACCCTGCTGGAGCCGTCGCCTTTTCCGCAGGGCCCATGATTGACTGCGTGGTGTGGCACGACGGCGAGCACTGGGTGGCGGCTCTGGACACCTCGGGTGCGCGGCCTGGCTGCCCCGCCTGGCTGCTCACCCCAGCCTTCCATCCCCTCCGGTGCCTTGCAGTCAGTGCCACGCCTGCACCGCCCACCTGTCCCTGCCCTGCCTGCCCACCTGCCTGCGCCTGACTGCCCCTGCGGCTGCGGCTGCCTCTCCGCTGCAGACATGTACGAGCCGGGCAGCGGGCAGGGCCTGCTGGCAGACTTTGCCCCCATGACCAACTTCCGGACCAAGCGCCAGGCAAGCCAGGCCCTGGGCACTCCTCCACTCAGCCGGCCATTCGGTCACTGCGGCTGTCGCTCAGACTGCGGCTGCCCGCCCTGGCCTGGGGCCTAATTCGGCGCCAATGATCTGTGCTAAATCGACCTCCCTTCCCCCCTCCTCTCCCCCTCCTCTCAGTGGGGCACCTTCTCCGCGGAGGATGCCTGCAACTTTGCCCTCAACATCTACGACGAGGGCGACACGCTGTCCATAGGTGGGGCTGGGCTGGTGGGGTGGCAAGGGTGCCTGCTCCCCGCTTCCCAAACAGTACCCCCTCTGTCCACGCTTGGGACTCCTGCTGAGGTTTATCTGGCAAGCTGCCTGCAGTTGTGGATGCCGGCAGCCACGGCACACATGTGGCGGGCATCACCGCCGCCCACCACCCAGAGGACCCCTCGCTCAATGGCATCGCGCCAGGTGGGGTGCGGCCCCTCGGCTGCTTCCAGGGCAAAGCTGGGCTGTGCGCAGAATCGGGCGGAAGATGTGTTTGGCCAGAGGCGTCGGAGCCCATCACCTAGGTCGCCGCCCTGGCCCCTCGCCCCCTGCAGGCGCCCAGATTGTGTCATGCAAGATCGGGGACACGCGGCTGGGCAGCATGGAGACGATGGTGGGCCTGACCCGCGCGCTCATCACGTGAGCGACACTCACAATACACAATGGCGGTGGCTTCTGCTGCCCTGTGCTGTGCTCCTAATCCTAGGGAGCTTTGAGTACAATACAACAGGAGCCCTTGGGGGATGGGTCCGGCACATCCGGTGGGGTGCACACGTGCATGCCTCCCTGCCCTGTGATGCAGCGTGCTGGACAACAAGTGCGACCTGGTCAACATGAGCTACGGGGAGGCGACAGCCACGCCCAACGCGGGTGCGCCCGGCGGCTGCCACAGCCGCGCCTCTAACGCCGCCTGCAACAGCCGCAGCCAGCTGCTCCACCCGCGCGACGGCGTGCCCGCTTGCCTGCCCGACCGCTCATGCCTGCGGCATATGCGCCCCCTGCAAGCTTGCGTGCAGGGCGCTTCATCCAGCTAGCCGAGGAGCTTGTATACAAGCACAATGTCATCTACGTGGCATCGGCAGGTGGGCACTTGTGCGCTTGTGAACCCGCGGATGGATGGATGGATGTGTGTGTGTGAGTGTGTGTGTGGCTAGGAGCAGGTCTGGGGTGCGAATGCAGCCAAGAGTGTTGCAGAGATGAGGCGAGAGCGGAGCGGGGTTGGCTGCCTCTGCCCCAAGCCCCCAACCGCTGCCCACCCTCGCCTCGCGCCGCCCTGCTGCCCGCAGGCAACGCGGGCCCCGCGCTGAGCACGGTGGGAGCCCCTGGGGGCACCTCCACCGCCATCCTTGGCATCGGCGCCTACGTCAGCCCCGCGCTGGCCGCCGCCGGGCACAGCCTGAGGTGCGCGGCGGGCTGGCGTTCGTTCGTTGCCTGCTTATTCGCTCACCTGCCCTGGCTTGTGAAGCCTCCGCGGCTGAGGCCTGCACGCGGCAGCACAGCACAGTGTGGCTCCCCGCCGAACCTTCCAGCAGCATTTGGCTGAGCCGGTTCTCCTGTGCCGCCGACACGCTGTACCGCAGGGGCGAGCTGGAGGCGGGGCAGCAGTACACTTGGTCCAGCAGGGGTCCGGCGCCGGATGGGGACCTGGGGGTCAACTTCTCGGGTGGGTGGGAAGCTGGCGGGACAGATACTGTGCCACTGGTGCTGCTGGAGTGCGCTTCCATGATTTGGTGATTTTCGACGTCAATCATTGCGTGCATTGGTGTATCGGAAACCTCCACTACGCTGCGTAGTGCCTGTACCACCACCACCTGCACCGCTAGATTCCTGCCCTGCCTGCAGCCCCGGGCGGCGCCATCGCGCCCGTGCCTCAGTGGACACAACAGAAGCGGCAGCTGATGAACGGTGGGTGGGCGAATGCGGGGGCGGGGAGGGAGTTGCAGGTGCCCATTGCACTTCCTTCCTACTTGCAGTGGTGGGGCACTGTCGGGGCACCAGCAACCAGCAACCAGCAACCAGGAGTGCCTCCTCAATTTGCATACGCTGCTTTGCCTCCTCCCCTCCCCCCGCCTGCCTGCAGGCACCAGCATGGCCTCCCCCTGCGCCTGCGGCGGCCTGGCCCTGCTGCTGTCGGCGCTCAAGGCTGAGGGGCAGGCCATCACCCCTGCACGCATCAGGTGTGTGTGGGGGTGGTGGTGGTGGTGGGGGGGGGGGGGCGCACCAGCTGGTTCGCGGGTTGAGGCCAGATGACGTCGGCAGGCCCGTGCCGGTGGCTTGGTGCAGAGTGTGTCGCCTGACCTGCAAGAATGCAGGCTGCATATGCAGCAGCTCATGCTGATGCCGGGAGCACCCTCCTGCCTGCGTGTCGTGTGCAGGCGCGGCGTGGAGAACACTTGCCTGCCGGTGGCGGAGGGCAGCGCCGACAGCGTGCTGACCCACGGACGCGGCCTGCTGCAGGTATCAGGATTGGGCGCCAGGCTGGTTGTGCCGCTTGCGCTGGCAGTGTGTTCCTGCCATCCTGTCATGCGCCCCCCATCCGTCACCATCCTCGCTAATCAACATTCACCTCCCATGGTTTGTGCCCAGGTGGATGCGGCCTATCGGTACCTCAGGCGCGCTGCCGAGCTAGACGTGCCAGCAGGTGAGCGCCCGCGGGCCGCCTGCTCCCCGGCTGCAGCGGCAGCGCTGTTTGCTGCTGCCAATCAACGCACAGTCCCGCGACCCCTACCCCCACGGCTGCAATCCACCTGATCCTCCGCAGACCTCCGGTTCGAGGTGTCTGTGCGGCGCAGCGACAGCAGCCACACTCGCGCCGGTATCTATCTGCGGGACCCCCAGGACGCACGCCAGCCCCTCACCTTCCAGTGAGCTTCCGCCCTTGCCGTGCACTGCTGCATCGCGCTGCTTTGTACAGGATCGGGGCGTTTCCAAGCGGTGGATGCCGCTGCACTAGAGTGCCTTCCCCACACCGCGGCAGCAGGCAGCGCCTGTCCATGTGCCGACCACCTCGCCACATGCCCCCTCCCTGTCTGCTGCCGCAGCGTGGACGTGTCTCCGCGGCTGCATGAGGAGGCTGACACCAAGGGCGACCGGGTGGAGGTGGAGCACAAGGTGTGCGCCTGCAGGGGGAGCGCACGTTCTGGGCTTGCAAGCCGTTTGGCCCCACGATCGCATTGTAGGCTTTATGCGCTGACCTACACAATGCTCGCCGCCCCCCATCCTCTTGCCTGCAGCTGCTGCTGAAGTGCAAAGGTGCGGAGGGACGGGGCCTGGGTGCTAGGGGCAAGTCGCAGGGTGGCCAGGAGCTGACAGTTGCACAGCGGCAGCAGTGGCGGCGGTTTCCAAGCCTGCCTGCACAGCCCCACCACCACCACGCCCACCAGCCCTCCCCTCCTGCTCCCCTGCCTGCCGCGCAGCGCACTGGGTCAAGGCGCCCGCGGTGCTGCTGCTGCACCACAACGGGCGCGGCTTTGAGGTGGAGCTGGACCCCACAGGCCTGCCAGAGGGCCTGCACTACACCGAGGTGCAGGCTTTTGATGCACTGGCCGAGTGGCGGGGCCCCCTCTTCCGCCTGCCCATCACGGTGGTGCGGCCGCTGGACCTGAAGGCCGAGCCGGGCAGCAGCAGCGGCAGCGGGGCCGTGGTGCGGCCGGATGCTTCGGTGGACCTCGGTACGCTGCTGTGCTGCTGCTGCTGCGTGGTGGGGGTGCTGGCCTGTCGCGGGGTTTCAGAGTGTGGGCAAGCGGTCGTGGCAAGAGGCAGGCCTGCCAAGTGTGGGCCTCAGACGCTTCCATGGAGTGCCCGCAAGCCACCCTGCTCCTCCACCGCATCCTGGCCCAGGCGTGCTGCGGTTCGAGCCGGGGCAGGAGGCGCGGCGGTTTGTGGCGGTACCGTCGGGTGCCACCTGGGCGGAGCTTAAGATCCGGGCCGGCGAGCTGGACACACCCAAGGCAAGGCTTTGGCCACAGCACGTGGGCAGCCGCCCAGGCAGCTCCTGTGCAGGCCAGCTGCACGCTGGCGCCCTGCCAGGGCAGCAAACCAAGCGCTTGCTGGCCAGCAGCGTGACGTGCTGTGGCTGGGGCCTAGCACCAGGGGGTTATGCCACCCCGCCACCCCTGCCTGCCTCCCCTGGCTCCCCCCTGCAGTCCTACATGCTGCGCGCCACGGCGCTGCTGCCGCACACCCGCTACAGCGACAGCGAGTGGCGCTCCTTTGCCCAGCTGTCGGCGCACCAGGTGGGCGGCCCGCCTGCCCTCCTTTCCTTGTTGTTCGTGCCCGCCAGCCTCCCTCGCCGCCTCCATCTCCTCTGGGTGCCTGCCTGCTCCTCCTCCATCCTCGAAATCCACCGAAATCCACCGGTGCTCCCTACCTACATTCTGCACACACGCACCCTTTCACCTTCTGCAGGAGTTTGGCGCCGCCTTTGCCGTCACCGCCGGCACCACCCTGGAGCTGACGCTGGCGCAGTACTGGAGCAGCCTGGGCGACGCCACGCTGAGCGCTGAGCTGGCGTTCCACGGCGTGCAGGTCACGCCCGCCAAGGTGTGTTTGGGGGCGGACCGGCGCCGGTTCGCGCGTGCCTTGTGGGGGTTGTGGGGGTGGGGCATGCCGCACCACAGTCACCTCACAGCCCAGCCACCCCCTTGCACACACAACCACGTGCACGCACACACACACAAGCATGATCCCTCCCCGAACCCTCGCAGTCACTGCTGATTGACGGCGGCGCCGGCGCCACCAAGGTGCACGTCGCCGCCACCCTCCAGCGCGAGAGGGTGAAGCCGGCGGCCAAGCTGGATGTGCTGCGCATCCCGCTGCGCCCTGCCGAGGCCGAGCTGGCGCCGCTGGCCACGCCGCGCGACACGCTGTGGGAGGGGCGCGTCACGCACCGCCTGCTGCTCACCTACAAACTCAGCATGGCGGAGGCGGGCAAGGTCACGCCCACGCTGCCAATGCTGAACAGGCGAGCTGGGGTGCCGGGGAGCGGAGGGAGGGGAGCTTAGCATCTGTCGCCGTGCCTCCCGCTGCCATTGCATCTGCCGGCGGGCCCTGCTGCCCAGCTGCCGCCGTACCTCCCGCTGCCGCCCTCCCACTGCAATTGCCTGCTTGCCCTCGCCCCACGCCCCCGCCCGGGCGGTGCAGGTATGTGTACGATGGGGAGCTGGAGGGGCAGATGTTCATGCTGTTCGACGGCAACAAGCAGAAGCTGGCGGGTGGGTGGCGGCATGCGCGGCGGGGCGGGTGGTTGGGGTGGCCGCGCTTTGCGCACCCACCACCCACCGCTGCCACCCACCACCAACAGCAACAGCACCACCTCGTGCACCCCAGCTCACCACCACTCCCCGCCTCTCCACACCCTGTGCCCTGCCCCCCGCAGTGGGCGACATCTACCCGGAGGCGGTGCAGCTGAAGAAGGGGGAGTATGTGGTGCGGGTGGCGCTCAGGCACGACGACGCGGGCCTGCTGGAGAAGCTCAAGGTGCGGCGGCGGCCTGGTGTGGTGGCTGCGGTCTGGCTCATGCTCAGCCGATACAAGCTCGCGTAGGCGGGGCGTGGTGGAGGGGAGATGGTGGGGCACAGGCAACGGCTGGGGGAGGGGTGGAGGAGCGTCGGATTGTGGTGCCGATGGAAAAGAAAGGTAACGATCCTGGGATCGTTTGAACAGGCGCAGACTGAAGCTTCATTCGCGCACACACACATTTAAAACCACACACTGCCCCACCCCCGTGCAGGCCATGCCCATGATTGTGGAGCGGCGGCTGGACAGCGCGGTGCAGGTGCCTGTGTACGCCTCCAACTCGGACGCTATCAAGGGCAGCAACGCGGTGGGCAAGGAGCGCACGCTGTGCAAGGGTGCGTGGGCGCCTGGCGGCAGGCCTGCAGGGCCGCAGGCCCGCTGGACCCTTGCCCTCCCTTTGCGGCGCCGCGGTGCAGGCCTCCCGCCCTCCCATTCCCTGCAACTCCCAGCCCGATCAATTCTACGCACACACCGCCATGCCCCCTCGGCAGCCTGCTGCGCCCGCCGCGGTCTCACCCCGTAGCCTGCCGTGCCTCCCTTGGTGCAGGGGAGCGCGCCGCTTTCTTCCTGGGCCCCGTCCCGGAGGACAAGCTGCCCAAGGATGCCACCCCAGGTGCGGCCCCCATGCCTCACACCGCACTTTCTTCTGCTCCTCCTCAGCTGCCTCCCCCACCTGCCTGCTGCCATGTGTGCTGTTAGATGCACCTGCTGGCCCGCCTCGCCTGCTCACCCCAGCGCTCGCCCCCGCCCCGCCTTCCTCCCGCGCAGGCCGCCTGCTGGTGGGCAGCGTGACGTTTGGCCAGCTGGGCGGCGGCGGCGGCGGCGGCGGCGGCGGCAACGGCAACGGCGGCGGCCGCCCCTGCCCCGCCGCCCACCAGCTCTCCTATCTGGTGCCCCCCAAGAAGGCAGAGCCGCTGGCCAACGGCGGCGCGGGCGGCGGCAGGGAGGAGGGGGAGGAGGGGGAGAAGCGGGTGGAGGCTCGGCTGGCAGAGGTGCTCCGCGACGCTCAGGTCAAGCTGCTCAAGGTGAGGCGGCTGTGGGGTGTGTGCCCCTGGTGTGCCTGGCTGTGCGCGTGCGCTGTGGGGGTGGCGGGTGTTCCTTGTTTGGTGGCGGGCGGGGGTGAAGGCTCGCCATGCAAGGCAGGGAGGCGGAGGCTAGAGGCCGGTGCGCCACCTCCCGAGCTGCTGCGTGGCGCCGGCGCTGCCCCGGCCCCGCTTCCCGCCCCCTGCCCTCCACACGCCGCCCCTTTGCGCACCGCAGGAGCTCAAGTGCGAGGGCGAGGAGGAGCGGCAGGCGTATGAGGAGCTGCAGGCGCAGCTGCTGGCGGCGCACCCGGCCCACCTGCCACTGCTGCTGGAGCGGCTGCAGCGTGCGCTGGAGGGGGCGGACGGCGGCGTCGGCGGCGGGGGGCAAGGGCGGGGAGGAGGGCCCGAGCGAGGGCGTTGCGGGGGTGGAGGTGCGCGGGCGTGGGGTGGGGGGTGTGGGGGCGCTTCGTGGAGCTGGCGGGTGGGGCAGAGGCGGCGAGGGGAGGGCCGCTTTGGCTGTGCTGGCGCCCCGTTTCCTCCCGACTCAGTCACACATGTGTGCGCGCGTGTGTGTGTGTGTGTGTGTGTGTGTGTGTGTGTGTGTGTGTGTGTGTGTGTGTATGTGTGTGGCTGCAGGCTGTGGTGAAGGCGGCGGATGCAGTGGTGGCCGCCATCGGCCAGGACGAGCTGGCCATCCACCTGGCGCAGAAGTGTGCAGAGGAGGGGCCCGGCGCGGCGCGACGCAAGAAGGGTGAGCGAGGGGCTGGCCGGGGAGCTGGTGGCGTGGCGTGGGCAGGGCGGCGGGGGCAGCACCTGGTGACGGCTGATTGCGATAGGCCTCCCCGTCCTCAGTACACACCCACACATGCGATGGCCCCTGCCCCCGCCCCCGCCAGACATGGATGAGCGCAAGGCCGCGCTGATCGACGCGCTGGCAGCCAAGTGCGGTGTGCTGCTGAAGCAGGCGACGGCGGCGGCGGCGGCGGCGGCGGCGGCGGCGGCGGCGCCAGAGGGCGGCGACGCGGAGGCGGCGGCGGCGGCGGCGGCAAGCGCCACCGCCGCCTTTGAGGCCGCCTTCCGGGAGCTGCGCAAGTGGGTCGACACAGCGGCAGACGAGAAGGTGAGCGGGGCCTGGGCAGCTGCGCTGGGGGCAGGCAGGCAGCGCCGCCGTGCCGCCCAGCCTGACTCTGGCTCAAGGCTTCCTGTGCGCTGTCTGGCTGGGCTCGTGCGCATGTTCCCTGCATATGTTCGCCCACCGTGCTGCCAATCCTGAACCGTGCCGCCGCCCTGCGCGCCGCGCCTGCCGCAGCATGTGCTGCTGCATGCCAAGCGCGAGGCGCTGGCGGGGCGCCTGGCATCGGCGTATCGCGTGCTGGATAAGGTGGGGTGTGCGCTGTGTGCGCTGTGTGCTGTGTGCGCTGTGTGTATGTGCGCTCTGTGAGGGGGGGTGGGGGGCAGGTGGCTCCCCCGCTTCCCCGCTTCCACCCCCAGCGAACCATCTATCCTCGATGCTTGCGGGCGTGCAGGCCGCAGCCCCAGAGGACAAGCCAGCCCCCAAGGAGGTGCTGGAGTGCAGGACCCAGCTGCTGGCTCGGGTGAGCAGCCTGCATGTGGTGGCTGTGCAGGGCTGCAGGCCGCACCGCTCTGTGCTTGCCTCAGGGAGGACCCGTGGTTTGAAGGGCCCGCCTGCCTCTGCCTGCATGAGGCGCTGCCCTGGCCGCCACCACCCCCGGCTCACCCCTGCTGCAGCTCAACTGGCCACACTGGGAGCGGCAGCAGCGGCGGCGCCTGGCAGCAGCCTTCCCACCCGCCTACCCACTGTTCTGAGGCTGCCGGCGCTGCCGGCAGCGCTGGGACACCAGGCGTGGAAGGCGTGGAAGCTGCCTGTTTGCTCGCTAGAGAAGCCTGTGACTGTGGCATCTATATATACATGTAGTGAGCACGCCGACTGAGAGCAGGCAGCATCAGGAAGTTACAGGGGCGGCCGGCCAAATAGGGGCGAGGGGCAGCGGATGCATGGGGCAGCACCAAATTGCAAGCTGGGTGAAAATGCAAGCAGACTCATGGGCTCCGCAAACAATGGGGGGATGGAAAACGGGGGTGGAAAGGATGGATTTACCGGGCCATGCTGGCGGGACACGAGCCAGATGGCGGGCACAGTATCGATGGAGGGGGAGGTATAAAATGTCAATCCCAGGCCCAGAAAAGAGGAAAATCCCCAGAACGAAACAGATGGTCAGGACGCCGTAGCCGCAAGCCGCACAAACGAAGCACCCAGCATAAAGGGCGCCTGCCCCCTCCAAAATCGCTAGGGCAACTACACACAGCAACAGCTGGCTAGGCACGGGTCAGGCTGCCGCGGTGGTCGGCAGAGGTGGTCACAGACGGGAGAATCAAAGCAGATGCAAATTTTCTTTCTTCGTGATGAGGTATGCCACACGTGGCCGCCGCCGTAGGGACCACGGTGGTGCGGGTGAGCGGCGCTCACGCCTTGCCCGCGCGCCGCAGGAAGGCCAGCTGCTCAGGAGAGTAGTGCTGCCCACCGGGTGCAGCACCGCCGCTGGGGCTGGGCGACCGCGGCCGGCTGGACGGCCGCGGCGCCTGGGGGCGCGTCGGGCTGCCTGGTCTCGCAGGCGGCGGCGGCGGCGGGGCTGCGCTCTGCACGGGGAATGGCCGGGCGGGCGGGCCGGCAGATCAGCAGGGCAGGGGCCAGAGTGGCGTGGCAAGCGGCCAGCTGTCAAGTTTATTGGGAGCACGCCGGCCTGGCCCGCGCGCGTGGGCTTGGCATGTCATGTGCCGCGCAACAGCCAGGGGCGCACGGCGCCCACCTGTGGCGACACGCCCTTGCGGCGCAGGAACTCAAGCTGCTCAGGTGAGTAGGCGGCTTCGTGGCCGGCAGGGGCGGGGCCGGCCCGGCTGGCTGCCGCCGGGGCGGCTCCGTTGGCGGCGGCGGGCTGCGCCTGCAGCGGCGGGAAGGCGGTCCAGCCGGAAGAGGGCGTCAGCAAGGAGGGCACCCCACGCCCACCCACACACAACAGGATCCCCGCCCGCATGCGCCTGCTGCTGCTCATCCTGCGCTGCTGCCTGGAGCAGCACGCTCCCCAAGTGCTGATGTGCCAGGCTGGCCGCAGGCCCAGGCCCCCGCCACCCACCCGCACGCTGGAGTTGAGCTTGCGCCGCATGAACTCCAGCTGCTCAGGGGTGTAGCTGGCACCCGCCGCCGCCGAGGGCGCGGCGTGGTGGGCCTTGGCGGGCGAGGCGGCGGCGCCGGCGGCCGGCGCCGCTCCCGTCAGCTCAGCCGCCACCGACTCTGCCACCGCGACAACGTTGGCGGCGGCGCCCGCGGCGGCGGTGGTGGCCGCCAGCACGGCTTCCGCGGCGGCGGCGGCGGTCTGCTGGGCGGGCCTGCAGCATGGCGGGCAGGAGGGGGGCGCATGGCAGGGCCGGGGTCGGCGCCATTGTGTGTGCGGGCTGGTACTCGTGGTCAAGTTTGGGTGGCCGCTTTGTGCGTTGCTACCCGATCACGCCCGTTCACAGGAACCGAGCTGGGGAGGTGCCCACCTGGAGGCCACGGCGGTTGCCTGGGCAGCCATCCCAGGAGACTGCAGCGGGCAAGGGGGCACAAGCAGGCTTGCCTACGCGTCACAGGTGGCAACGAGGGGAGGCAGCACGGCGGGCGGGCAGCTGAAGAGCAGCGGGAGGCACAGGCGCAGGCCAGCCACAGCCGCACGCACCCCCGAGCGCTTGCGGTTCAGGAAGGCCAGTTGCTCAGGAGAGTAGTGGGCGTCGACCAGGGTGGCGTTCACAGGCTGGGCCTGCAGGCGGGCAGGCGGGCGGGCAGGGTGGTAGGCAGGCGGGGGTAGGGCGCAAATGCCCTCACATGGCACCAGCCGGCATGCCGCCAGCCACGCCGCCGCCACATTTCCAGTTCTGGCCGCCCACCTTGAGCGCGGAGCTGCTGCCCGCCGCCGACAGCTCCGCCACCACGGCCTCGGCGGCGGTGACGGCCTGCGCCACCGCCGCGGCGGCCGCCTCCGCCGCGGCGACCACCGCCTCGGCGGCCGCGGTGGCGCCGCTGGCGGCCGCCATGGCGCCGTTCACGGCTGTCACCGCGTCGCGCCGCTTGGCCAGCGCGGCGCTGAAGCTGTTTGGCATCGCCTGCGCGGGCCTGCATGTTTGCAAGGGGGCAGGGCAGGCACATGGTGCAGGGTGGGTGGATGGCCCTCCTCCAGCATCAAGGGCTGGGTGGCTGGGTGGCCCCCTCCCCCACACAGGGGAGCCATGGTGGCCTGGCACATGCGCCTTGGCACACGACACACAAACCCTCTTGGGCCCCTGGAGCAGCAGGCCCCTCCCTCCCCCTCAAAAGGCGACCACACACACACCCACAGACAGCCCCCCGCTGGCCCCCCCTAGGCAGCAGGCACAGGCGAGAGCAGCAGCGCGGCCGCGCCGCACTTGTAGGCGGGAGGGAGGTCGAGCATCAGGCCGCCGTCCCTGGCGCCCGCCCGCGTGGACACCTCTGTTGAGTCCCAGGAGCAGCCCAGCACCGCAAAGGGCGTCTCGGCGCTCCAGGAACGGTTGGCGCACTCCTCCCACACCGGCGGCCTGCGGCAGCGGCAGCGGCAGCGGCGGGGGCAGCGGTCGTGGGGCGGGCGGTCCGCCTGGCAGGCCTTGCACGCCCTCCGCCCCCGTGGATCGCGGCGGGGCCGCGAGCAGCGGCGCCCTGCCCCTGCACCTCACTCACTCGTGCGGGCTTGTCACCGCAAACTTGTACTCCAGCTGCGAGCCTGCGGGGAGGTCGAGCGTGACGCGCCAGTCGTCTCCCTCGCTCCACGTCAGCACCGGCGCCCGCTCCAGCTCCCAGGCCCCCAGCGCCTCCGCGTCCCCCACCAGCACCATCTGCTGCCCAAAGTTGAGCTGCGGGCGGGGCAGGGCGGCAGGCGGGGCGCGGGTGGGACCCTGGTGCCAGTCGCTGCCCCAGGCGAGACCGCTCCGCTGCACGCTGCATGCCGCACGGCACAGTGCGGATATGGGCAGCAGGGCGCCACCGCGGCCCGGATGGATGCTGCAGGGGCTTGACTGCCTGGCAGGCAGCCAGGGCATGGCTGTGCCGCCCCACAGGGGCCGTTGAAGACGTCGAGGCTGCGGGAGCGGGTGGCGAGAGCCTACCACCGGCCTGCGCCCTGCGGTTCCCGCGCCCCGGGCACGCACCTTTTTGTTAATTGTGAACGTCACTGCCACCGTGCCCGCACCGCCCGCCCTGGCCTGCACCGTCTGGGCCGCCACAGCGCGCAGAAGCATGAGGCGGGGCTTTGTGCTGACCGTGCCGACGGCGCCACGGCGGTTGCTGCAGGCCACATGGGAGGTTCTGCGCGCGGGAGCGCATGCCGGGGGAGCCCTGGTGGCCAGCGGCACCATGGGAGTGCAACCCGCTTTGCCCCAAGTTTTGAGCCCTCACGAAAGCTCCTGTTAGCCGCTGCAGCACTGTCTGTGTCGATCAAGGCGTAGGTAGGGCCTAAAGCCGGGCCATCCTGTGTGTCGTGCGGCGCAGCGCAGCACAGCACAGGCCAGCTGCACAGGCAAGCTAGCATGGCGTTTTGAAGGCGTTTCTCCCACGGATCAACCATTCCCGTATTAAAAATGCACAACACAACTGCCGGAGCTTTTAATACAGGAGCAGCGTGCGAATGTATCCCAAGCTCCCCCTTCGCTTGCCAACGCTGCTGCCAAAGCGCAATTGTTGGTTCATGCAAGCCAGAGCGCAGGGAAGGCCAGTGCCACTGCCATGCAATGTGTTGCTTGTGCAGGTGCAGGGCGCCAGCGCCGCCAGCGGTTCCAAGGGCGCACCTCGGCTCCACCGTCGCCACAGCTGTTGAACCGTGCTTCCTCAAGTCGCTTCACAGTTGCTTGAAACGAGTGTCTGGCCAAGGTTGCGAAATTTCAGATGATGTGCGGGAATGAATCAATGCTGATCGGAGGCTGGACAGCGGAGGCCGTTCCTGCCCGCCTGCTGAGCTGGTGAGGGTGTGGCGTCTGGACGCAAAAAGAAGAAGGAAAGAAGAGGGAAGAAAGAAGTGAAAGCAACTTTGCTGGGTCCATTAGTTGGTGGATAGGGGACATGGAGGAATTGCAGGAGGACAGTGCCCAGTTGTGAGCAGGGTATGAACTTCATGCACCGCCTGATCGGGTGCAGCAACAACGCTCGCGCGAGCTGGTATTGAATAGATAGATGGAAACATGGACTGAAGGTAATGTTTGCAAGAGCTGGAAAGGTCACTGACCCTGGAAGGAAAACACGCCCGAGCGGGCATCACATGGCGCTCTGAAATCGGTACACTGGCACCCCCTGCTGCGCTGCGCTTGCTGCAGCAGCTGCAGTGAACGGGCTGGCAGGCAAGCTGGGCTCCCGCACGGAAACGCCAATGGGGTAGGCAGGGCTGGGTACAGGCGCCCTGGAGGCGCGCCTGGCAAATGGCGACTCAAACAGCGGCTCCGCATCGATGGAAGGTCTGCAACGCAGCACGACGGTGCGCGGGTCCGCGGCAGCGTTGAGCGGCTGACGCTGCTGCTGCTCTCGCGGGCCAGGGGCCGCCTGTGCTGCTGCCTCCACTGCTGCAGCCTGCTCTGCCGTAACGGCGGAGCTTGCCACAGGGTATTGCAAGCCAGGGCCAGGCAGTGCTTCCAGCATGGCCTGGGCTGCCTCCATAATGTGCGCAAAGGTGGGCCGCTGCAAGGGGTCGGTGTGCAGGCAGCCGGCCAGCAGGGATGCCAGCGCCGGCGGCGCATCATCTGGAATCTGAAAGGGCATCTTGCCTGCAGCAGGCGGAGGCGGGCAGGCAGGTAGGCGGGAAGCGAGCGGCGGCCAAGTCGACGGCACTGGCGTGACCGCGGTGCACAAGGCATGGTGCCAGCATTGATGTGTGGTGGGGCAGCAACCAGCTTACCCGATGTGATGGCGCTCAGAACCTGGAAAGTGCTGTAGCCGCTCCAGGCGCGCCGGCCCAAGTAAGCTTCGAGCAGGAGGATGCCAAAGCTCCACACATCCGCCGCCTTGGTCATCGCCCCCTCGGCCAGAAGCTCTGGGGACATGTGCGTCACTGCGGGAGGGCAGGCAGGGTGGGCGGGGCGGATGCAGCGGGTGTTGAGTGTGGACACGGTCCTCCCCCCCCCTTTCAGCACCTTGGTGAGAACCCCACAATGGAAAGCTGAGCTTGCACACAGGCGGGCCGCACCTGTGCCAAGGATGGAGCTGCGCTTGCACCAGTTGGACACATCGCCGCACTTGGACAGCCCAAAGTCGTTCAGCTTGCACACCCAGCTCCTGCGGTCCTTCGTGCTGCTGGCCAGCAGCACGTTGCCTGGGCTCAGGTCTCCGTGGATCACGTCGCGCTGGTGCAGGTAGTGCAGGGCGCCTGTGAGGGGGAGCCGAGGAGTGGGTGGCGGGGCTGGTAAGCGTGGGGTGGCATGAAGGGCAGGGATCACTGCCGCCCAGCGGCGCCCTTGCAGGGTGTAGCCCCCAGGGCGGGCCCCGCACAGCGGCTGCCCCGCCCGCCCGCACCTGCAATCTCCTGGGCTGACAGCAGGATGGCGTGCATGTTGGGTGCTCCCTCTGGCGTGCACAGCAGGCCCCGCTTGAGCGCATCGTGGAAAGAGCCGCGGCAGTACTCCTGCACAATCCACACTTGCTGGTGCACCCGGCCAATGTTGTCCACCTGCGCACACCAACACCCGGCGAGAAGCACTGTCGACCTCTGTTCCTGCCCACATGCCGGGCAGCCAAATAGGCAGGACCCTGCCCATGATGGCGCCAGTACCGATTCGGTCGCCTTGGGCAGCCAGGGAAGCCAGGCCGCCAACCCGCTCATGGCATCCATTCCATTTCATTCCATTCCACTCCACGCACCCGTGGGGCGGTCGCGCCGTGGCAGTAGGTCGTCACGATGTGTGGGTGAGACAAGGAGCGCGCCAGCAGGGCTTCCACCAGAGCCGCCTCCACCGCCGGCACGTCCTGCTGCCGGCGCTGGGAGGGCGCGCCCGCCGCTGCCAGGTCAGCGCGGTCGGCGGCGCTGGGCTGCGCCCCCGCCCAGCAGTCGATCACCTTCACTGCCACACGCCCACCCTGCGCATCAAATAATAAGCCAACACGCAGGTAGATGAGCACGGGAGAGGAGGAGAGAGAGCGCAGAGTGGACAAGGCTGCACTCAGCAAGCATGCTAGCCAAAAACGCACACCCACAGCCCTGCCTCACCTGCCACATGCCGCGGTAGCAGCGGCCCATGGCCCCAGAGCCAATAATCGGCCCAAGCGTCACCTCGTTCATCACTTGCGGCCGCTGCTCGTAGAAGGAGGGGATGGAGCGCAGCTGCGATGCGCTGTCGCTCTGCACGGGAAGGCGAGGGATCACGGGTTCAGGAGCGATGCGACAGGGCGCCAGTAGCCCGCGTCGGTCTGGGGACCCGGCACCAGCAAGTCGGCGTCAGGGCCGGAAATGTACCTGAGACAGCAGGGAGGGTGCTCCAGCCAGACCCTCGCTCGCGCTTCCCAATGCCGCCGCGTCTGGGATGAAAGCAGTCGTGCTTTCCCGCCGCAGCTGTTCCAGCATTTGCGCCTGGTGCTGTGGCGCTGCCACCTGCTGCTCCCGTGGCTGTGCTGGCTGCGGCTGAGCGGGGAGGACTGCATGCGCCTGCTGTTGCTGCTGCTGCAAAATGCCAAAGTAGTGGAGAGGGGGCTGCCGGCCCTCCGGCTGCCCTGCACTGCCATCGCTGCTCCTGCCAGCGGCAGGGGTCACGCAGCGCCTGCCACAAGGACCCGGCTCATCGCTGGCGGTTGGCCGAAAGAGGATGGATAGCACGCGCCCTGGCTGCTCTACCGTGCTGCCAGGCGTCCCGCTCTCGCTGCTGCTGCTGCATCTGCTGCTGCTGCTGTGGTCGGAGCTGGCATGCCTGGCAGCTGCCATGGCGGCGAGGGCAGCAACGATGCAGCTGCTGTTGCGCCGGTCCCTCTCGCGGGCCTTCACCTTCAGAAGGAAACCGCGGCCGCCCAGCAGCGAGTTGATAGCAGCCTGCAGGCCAGAGTCAAGGGCATGGGGGCAATGAGTGGTGCGCAGACAGGTGGGCGGGCAGGCGAGCCGCCGGCCACTCTGGCATTTGTTGTTTCGCTTGCACCCTCCTCCTTGACTCACATTGTAGGATCCACTCCCCTCTGCAGCCTCGTCAAACAGCTCCCAAAACGATGGCTGGCAGCCGCCCGTGAGGGCCATGTCGCCACACACCGCCAGCAGCTCGGGAATGCCCACGGCGGTGCAGAAGGCGGCATTGGTGAAGGTCACAGTCCAGCCGGGGCGGGACAGATCCAGCAGGACCACACCCTCTGCACCACACGCACGCCAAGCGACAGCTGGCGTCAGAAGCGCAGCAGAGTGGCAGGGTTGCTGCGCCAGGCTTTCACAGGCAGGTGGCTGCTGGAGGGCTGCTATCAGCCAAAGCCAAGCAGCAGCTGCACTGCAGCGCACCCCGGAAGCCGTCCATAGCCCGCAGCAGGTGCGCGGGAGGGCGGGCGATGTCGCTGCTGAGCCTCTCCCGCTGCGCTTGCAAAACCTGCGCAGTGGCAGCCGGCGGACGCAAGTGAGGACAGCCAGCTTGCCTCCAAGCCTGAATAGGGCCCCAGCTGCATTGGCTGGGCGCGGCATGAAGCCAGAGCAGGCTGGCTCGGGCTCACCTGCTCGCGCCCCATCTCTCGCACAGTGATCTCAGCTGCATGGCTCAGCATCGCATACTGCTTGGCGCTGAAAGTGCGTGGCTTGTAGTCAAACACAGCCATGATGCCTGCAGGCAAGGAAGATGGGGCTAGGGCGACTGGTGTCAGCTTGCAGCAGGCAAAGCACTGTGCTGTGCCCGCTGCGTCGGCGCAGCCAGCAGCAATGGATGCTGCACGGCAGGCAGGCTCCCGTGGCTGGCAAGGAAGCTGCATGCGCACCATAGCACTCGCCGCTGCGGGTGGCCAGGAGGGGTGCTCCAGCAAAGAAGCGAATGCGCGGCTTGCTGGTGGCTAGCGGGCTGCTTTTAAACCTGCACAGCGCGGCATATTGGCGCCCATGCCAGCTACCATCAGCACAGCTCATGAGGTGGCAGCGAGGCGGCAGAGAGCACAAGTGATTTGCGTCGCCCCTGCATGCCGGCCAGGTTTGGCACCTGTGCCCATGCGAGCGACCTGCCGCACCTGGCATCTGCAGAATCCTCCACCACCAGCGGGTTGGGTGCATCAGGGCCCAGCGCCCTGCACAGGCCGTATGGCATGCACACAGTTGGTGTGGCGTGCCCGGAATCGCAGCAGCTGCTTCGGGTGCTGCATAGCCAGCCCAACCAAACTCACCACTGACAGAAGCTGCCGCCCTTGCGCTTCCAGCTTGGTTTGCCCCCATGGGACCACAAGTGCGCCTGCTCGCCAGTCAGCACCACCGAGGCATGCGGCACCTCGAACATGGACTTCATCAGGCTGCAGAGGGTCCAGGCACGCAGGGAGGGGAGCGCAGGCATGCGCTGCGGCTGAATGGGCTGTTGGGCTGCACGCCGCGTTGATTCCTGCCTGCCCGGCTGTGCGACATTTAGTGCCAATACATGTGGTGGGAGTCGCAGCAGCACTCACGCAGTGACGGATTCAAACTGGGGTTGGGGCGCAGTGTTGATGACATCCCAAAGGGCCTGCAGGAGCGTACCCAGCCGACGGTCTTGCCGACGGGATGCGAGGCAAATGGTGTAGCATGGTGTGCTTCATTGTACTTCGATTGCCAGGCAGGTTGCAGGTCGGCGTAACGGGCGGCGCTTACCTGTGGGTGCTGCGCTTCACATGGCGCTGCCATAACCACGTCGTCTCTGCAAATTAGGTGCTCCAGGTGTGAGCCAGGCTGCCCGTCTGCCGTGAGAACTGCCCCGTCCGGGCGGCGGCGGCGCGGCCCCTTGACGCCCGCCGCCGCTCCAGCCGCCCGAGCGTCGGACACAGCCTGCACCCACCGCGCGTTTCAGTTGGTCTGGCAGTTTTCAAGCCTGTGAATCAAATGCAGGAAGGGAGAGGCCCGCTTACAGCGCTAGAGGTCGACAGGCACGCCCCCATCACGAGTGGGGCTGCCAGAAGAGCCCTGCCTCGGGCCGCAACGTCTCAGGCGGCTATGCTGGGCGCGGTTAGGCCAGCGGAAGGCCACAAGAGGCTGGAAAAGGCTAGTGCGAATTCGGCCTCTTGGCACGACTTGAGGACGAACGCTGTCCGTAGGCGCAGGAACTGTATGCAAGGCAACGGGAGAGCGCTGCAACGAGCTGCAATGCGTGTTGCACACATGACTCTTCCTTTGGTGTCCGGTCCTGCGCAGGCCGTTTGTGCCCCTTCATGCTGTCATCACTTGAAGGCTCGAGTGGCACCTTCAAAGTGGTGCATTCACAAACTCTTCGCTACCGCGCTGGCCAGCAGAATGATGAGGGGCCGCCGCCTCCGCGGGTGCCGCCCCGACGCCTTCCCGTCTGTGCGCGACGGAGCACATGCATCCGGGCAGCAGCAGCCACTATGTGGGGCCCAGACAGAGATATGGGAGGAAGGCTGACCAGCTGCAGCTGAATGGCGGGGATTCCTATTGTCGCTTGGTCGCGAGATGCGCCTGCCAGCGGCGCGCACCAGCCGCCAAGTGACCCGTCATCGCAGCGCCGCCCAGGCGTCGTCCGCTCCTCACAGTGTGGATGTCATCCTGCGCAAAGGAATGCAGCGGCAGCTGCCGGCACCCCAGGGCTGTACAGCATGGGCGAGTTTGCGCACAGAGTCTGTACCGGTCGCACGTGCGGCGCCGGGGAGAGGGGGGCGCCCTGGATGTGGCGGCAGCAGTGGGCTGCACGAGAGCGCTTTGGCCACCACGGGCGCATGCACAACCCTGCCACTTCTTGTTGCTTGGAGAAAATGTACATTTGAAGGAGGTGAGGCCCTGTGCATGCTGATGCTGGCGCTGCCGCGGCGCCAGCAGGGCGCCCCTCCTGCACCCGTGACCTCGCATAACCCCCTCTCTTTGCCAGCTCAGGCCTGGCCCACGTTGTCCGGGAACCTGCCGCCCACGTTGCCAGGAGGGTTGTAGAAGCAGACGACAAAGCCACCGAGGGACGGGCACTGTGCCAGGCCGCAGCCCAGTTCGGTGGAGCCCTGCACGCCAGGCAAGAAAGCCTGAGGCTGGCTGGTATGTTGCCAAACACACCACCCACCTACACCTGTCACTGCCCCCATCAGCAGCCAAGCCAACACGCATCTGCTGGCAGCTGCTGCTGTGCGCACCTTCCACACCACCTGGGTCCAGGACAGCGCGTCTGCAGGCACATGCAGGGAAGCACCCATCTGAGCTGGAACAGCAGAAGATGCCGCAGCAAACTAGTTGACTGCCCTCCCAGCTCAGATACACTGCCATAGCCCTGCCCCCACGGCATGCATTGCCCGGGCAGCCATGCACAGATTGGCTTGCAGCCGCAGCGCTGCAGTGGCTCAGAGTGGGGCCCCTGCACACCCACCTTGAGGCGGCGTGCCGCCAGGGGTGTAGCTGCTCTTCCCTGCCAGCCACAGGGGCAGGGCAGCCTCGCAGCTGGTCCAGGCGGAGCCTGCCCCCAGGTTCTGCCCATACCCGGCTCCAGAGGGCTGCATGACAACACGTGGCAGAGAGGCGGCTCCAGAGGGAGGCCAGCAGGCTCATGCCGGCAGAACCAGCAACCCAGGCCCAAGAGAAGCCCGGGCTGGTGCCTCCCATGCCACCCACCTGCAGCTGGCAGTTGTCTGCCCAGCTCTGCGCCTTCCCAGCCAGGTCTGAGCTCCAAGCCAGGGGAGGCGCGCCGCTCTGGGCCCGCTCGTCGTTGTGAGCCTGCAGGATGGCTTGAGCATCGGGGCAGCTGCCGCCCCCCAGGGCGCCGCCACTGGTGCCCGCTGTGGTACCAGAGGAGGGCTGCCGGGGCACAGTGGTGGGCTCGCGGGCCGGCGGCGGAGCCGGCGCCTGCGTCGGAGGCGGGGCGCCAGGTGCCTGCTCCAGCGCCTGTCCCGAGGGAACCTGCACGCCCAGAGAGGTTGGGCGCTGCAGCAGACGCCTGCCTGCGGCCGGGTTGTCAGCACCCGCAGCGGCGCCTGCACGGACAGGCGGCGGAGCGCCCGGAGGCGCGCCGTGTCGCCTACTGGTCAGCCGAACCTAGGAACGTGGTGTCATGGTGCCAGCTGTGCTGGCTAGTAGGTCCAGCTTCACACAACGCCCGCCCACACCCCTCACCTCCTCCCAGACACAGCGCCGCCAGGGCCACAACCAGCAGCCACATCCCGGCACCTCTCGCCATTGCGCCAGCACAATAGGTTGAGGAGCTCTCCAGCTGCCTGTGCCCTCAGAGCTTCTTTTCCTGGGATTTCCTCCCAGTGTTACTAGGTCACTCATTCACATCGAACACGAGGTGCAGAGCTCTCAAAAGGACCCACTACGAGCAAAAATCGCTGCTAAAAAAAGGAAAACTGAGCTGAAGTGTCGCTAACAGGCCGGCATCAGCCGGCCGCCGCCTCACGCTGCCAACAGACGTCTCCGCTCCTCTCCAGCAATCACCGGCGAACGGGTAGGTCCCTGGCCGCTGCAAAGCAGTACAACCGCGCTACAGCCGTCACAGCAGCCAGGCGAAACTCAACAATGCGCCGCAGCACAGCCCCAGCACGATTGAGAAGACCGAGATGGTGCCCGCAAGGCTGGCGGCGGCGCCGTGCAGGCCGTTGGGTGCGGCCTGCGCAGGGCGGCGGCGGGTGGGGCAGGGCAGGGCAGGCCAGGGCAGGGCTGGGCAAGGGTTTGCAGGAGGCAGGCGACCGGAGCTCAGGCAGGCTGCTGCTGCCGCCGGCCCCAGCCCGCCGCCGGCCATGCACACGCGCTGCGCGCCCCCCCCCCCCCCCGGCGCTTGCCTCCCCCACCCACCATCATGGCGCAGGCGGTCACCCATCCGTTGGTGGCGCCCAGCGCCGCCGTCAGACCGCCCACGATGGGCGGCCCCACCTGGCGCTCGGCGGCCAGGCGGAAGGCGGGGACGAAGCCGGCGCGCGCAATGGCCACCCACAGCAGCGCGGTGCGCGACTCGGTGCGCAGGAGGCGCATGGAGGGCGCGTTCTTGCCCGCCCAGTCGGCCAGCG